GAATCAAAATTATGTGCGCATTGCGCACATAATTTTAAATTTATTGTTCGTATACCGCACATGTTATTAAATATAATGTGCGCTTTTAATTTATTAACTATATAGCGCACAATATATTGCTAATATGTTATGTGCGGAGCGCACATGCGCACATTGAATTTTTCTTGGTTTCTATTGACTCACCTCTCATATGTCTATAATTTGTGTAAATAATCAAATAAGAGTTTGATCTAAATGTAAATTATACATAAATGTAAAAAAAAAAAAAAAGACCACGTCGGAAATGGATTTCATCGGTAAGAAACACTAAGTTTATAATATTCACAACTAAATTTTATGTTACATGCGATTTATGCATCATTTCCTTTCATAGCTACTCAACTGATAGATATTGGCATGTCCCTCATTTTGAGAAAATGGTAAGTTAATAATCTTCTAAGCTTTTAGTCATTTATTCCGCTTTTCAAATCATTTAATATTGTGCTACAATATCATTAGCTTTACGATCAAGCGCAATTGCTGATGAGCTTTGTTGATGTTTATGTGATAACGAAAGACCAATATTTTACTGAGGTATGGATAAATGCATAGTTAACGTTTTCATATGTCTTGTCCTTAGTTGTTAAATTTTATAGGCTGCACATGATATCGTAACGTATGTCGAAAGGGATCTGAGAGATCCTGAGGGTGGTTTTTATTCAGCCGAAGATGCCGATTCTTATCCCTCTGAAGGCGCCAAACACAAACTAGGTGAGGTTTTGTTTCGTTATTTTTGTCTAAGAGCTATCCAATGTAAATATTAAGTTATTATGATTATAAAAGGACATTCGAATATTGATAATTGAATACATTATTGATTTTTATTTTTGTATAGAGGGTGCGTTTTGCGTATGGGAAATGTCTGAAATCAAAGAAATATTAGGGGAAAAGAACTCGGAGATTTTCTGCCGGCATTACGGTGTGAAATCAAATGGAAATGTTGATCCAAATAAAGACATCCAGGGAGAATTGAAGCATAAGGTAAAGGTTTTTATACATACTTTATTTTTACGTATGTGAGCAGAGCTGATTTTACACCCCGATAGAACGTCTTAATTGAGCGATATTCGTTAGAAGAAACAGCGGAACATTTCAGTATTACATTAGATCAATTGAAAGAGGTTCTTTCAGAATCTCGGAAGAAACTTTTAAAATATCGTTTTGAAAAGAGGCCTAAACCACACCGCGACGATAAAATTCTGGCAGCATGGAATGGTTTGTATGTCCGTTATAAAATCGTTTTTTTTTTTTTTTAGTAAATAGCGAGTTATTAACTCTTATTTCACCTATATTTACAGGTTTGATGATTACTGGTCTTGTGAAAGCTTATGATGCGTTACGCGATAAAAAATTTTTGGATCTTGCAGAAGGAGCAGCGAAATTTTTGAAAGAAAAAATGTATATTCCTGAGAAGAATATTTTATTAAGAAGCTTTAGAGAAGGTGCTGGTGATGTTGAAGGGTTTGTTGATGATTACAGGTGAGATGAAGTTTCTTTCCCGTTAGTATCAAGATTTGTACTATTTTTTTAAGATGATTTTCTTATTCTTTAGTTACTTGATTGAAGGTATTTGTATTTGTTCATAATTCCATATAATTCAAGAGATTAATGTTCTTTTAATATGTCCTTATCTGCGTTCATGGTTTTATGTTTTTACATCAGGATTACTGCACCTTTACCAATCCTCCTTTAACGAATCATATCTTGCATGGGCTATTGAATTGCAAGATAAGCAAAATCAATTATTTTATGATGAAAAATCTGGAGGGTATTATAATGTTAAGGAAGGTACTAAGGATATATTATTAAGACTGAAAGATGGTAGGTTTTCGACCTTATTTCGTGTTAATTGCCCTCTTACAAAGTATGATTGACGCGTTCACTTTTGTGTAACCAGATCACGATGGCGCAGAACCTTCAGCGAACTCTGTCTCGGTCAGCAACTTAATATTACTTAGTAACATCGTCAATAACCCTGATTACAACGTTAAAGCAGAACGAACATTGAAATATTTTGCGGGAAGATTAAACATGATGCCGTTTTCAATGTCTGCAATGGTTGCAAGTTTAATGTTACATATAAAAGGCGTTAAACAGGTATTTGTGCGTTGAATTGCTAATGCGCATGTAACTAGTATCTTATATATTATGCTCATATTCATAGATAATGGTTATTGGACGTGAACAAAATCAAATTGTTCAACAATTTATTGAGGTCATTCGTGATCAGTTTATTCCTAATAAAACTTTACTTTTAGCAAGACCCGAAAATGAACTCCTACTGGAAAAAAATGAAATGGTAAAAGCTATAGTACAAACAGAATTTGCTGATAATTCAAAGAAAGGAGCAGAGGGCAATGTTCCATCGGTACATATATGTGAGAACTTCACTTGTGGTATGCCAATCAGCAACATTGAAGACTTGCAGGATAAATTAAAATTTTAAGTTATTTTATTTATTTATTTGTTTTTTTTTTTTTTTTTACAAAAAATTATTACGTTTTGATGGCTTATTAAAGTTGTTTTTTTTAAAGCTTTAAATTTCTTTATTTATGTTTTTTTTATTAAAAAAATTTTTATTT